TTCAGGATAGTTTAATTTAATAAATTGTATAAAGGAGGCAAGTGTTTGAGGTGAGGGTAGAAGTTGGAGTTTGTAGTGGGATAAGAATTTGTTGTAGCATGTAGTAGGATTATAAAGATCAAGTAAACTAGAAGGAGAAGGATTATTAGGTTTGTCTAGTATAGTGTGTATAGTTGGAGATAGATTATCGTTATCTAAATCTTCAGAGATCGAATTTTGAAATGATTTTGATTTGGGTGGAGAGATGTTTATAAAAATAGATGGGATAGTAGCTTTTTTAGATGTTGTAAATAATGTATTTGGAGAGGGAGTCTCAGCAGGGTTTGGTGAATTGGAGGCTAAGACTTTTTGAGATCCTTCTATAGAGTCGCTCACCATATGCCCAGCTTTCACGGCTGTGCAAGAGACCAAAGTCTGCTCTGTGCATTAAGTCTAACCATCACTAATTGGTTCTTTCACGTAAATAGGCTTTTCTACCCGCCTACTTACATCATTCTCTTCCAAAAAAAGCCCACTATTAGTGGAGAACATCATTATTTTGGAAGTGGTAGCTGCATTAATGTTATCTATAGAAGGAATTATTGAAAAAGTGAACTGTATAAGACAGAGGATTCTGTGGAGTTAGTGAAAAGAAAAAGAGAATTATCTAATGAAGATGGGATATTGATTTTGTAGTATTTAATAATAAATTTTTTAGCTTTGATATAGTGTTTAAGTTCGTAGTCTTGTTGGATTTGGGAGATTGAGAATTTGGTAGGTCAGTTTTAAATATCATAATAGAGAATTATACACGCAAGAATATGAGAACTGATGGAGAGAGAAATAGTTTTTTCTAAAGCTTCTTCAAGCTTGAGAGTTGAAATATTATTATTTATTGATGCTGCATTAATATAGACTTTGAAATAGGAATAGAAATAGTATGCAGTTCATTTGGAATTTGTTTCTTAATACAATAATATTAAAATCATTGCTAAAAATAATACTTACAGTATATAGCAAATATCTGCAAACCTGTATAGAGCTTTCCTTAAGATGGGATAAATATATGTATTTATATACTCTTTTTCAAGCATATTGTAATTTTTGAGTGGATTATTATGGGGCAAAAAAAATGCATCAAAGCTAAATGACAAATAAAATATTAATAAATCTTGATTGAATCGAGAATAATAAAGAGATACTTACAAGATCAGTAATGTTTCAAATAAAAGTCTTTTCAGTTTTTTCAAAAATGGATCTCCTCTCTGGTTCTAATAAGCTTTCTATCTTGTTATCCTATTGCTGGAAAGTATAAGTCTGTTAAAGATATAAATAATAATGATGTAATTGACAAGCCAAAAGAAAATTACTACAAGATAATATAAAACAATACCTCTGAAAAAAGCCTATTAAGAAATTCAATTGTACTTTCTAGAAACAATTTATTAACAGACTCAAAGATCTCTTTTAGAACCTGTATGTAATCATTCTCGTTTGTATATTTTAGAACAAACTCTGATAATAGTATAAGATCCATAATTTCATTCTGATTTAATTCATTGATGGATTCGTTACAATATTTTTAAAAACAATCCACTAAATTTTTCATATTTTCTGAACTACGTAATTCATTTAAGAGATTTTTAATCTGATCATGATCATTATCATTCTGTAAAATTCATTTAATTGTTTATATATATATATACACAAAGGATTGTATAAAACTATATACTTACCGAATCATTCATTTTTACATTATCATCTGTTTCATCAATTTTATAAAATTTTAGGTTTTCTTGCTCAATGCAATCATTATTTGGATGTTTCTATAAGTGGAAGACACACATTGTTAATTATCTTTAAAAAATTATATATTAATAATATTAAATATCATACCCGATTTTTATCATTTTTATTTAAAAGTTCTATTTGTTTCAATAGTTTATTCTCCTAATATGAAGCAGAAGTGCTCATTACTTTTAAGATACTTAATTATATGTCGACACTTGTATTATACTATTTAATAATATACAATAATATTAGATAAATTCATAATTGAAACATATCTATAAATCATTAATACCTGCTATCATTTTAATATTTGCTTCTTTTCAAATTGGTTTTAAAATTCAGTAGTATTTGAATTTTTAAATAAAAAAAAATAGATTATTTGTTAACTTCGCTTTGTTTATAATTTTAAAGTTGTTACTTGTCATAGATTATACTGAGGATGCTACCTAACTTTAGGAGTTAACAGGGATACTACTTGCTCCTAGTGGTATGAATGTATAACCAGCACTCTGCATTGTACTGAGGAATGCTACTTAACTCCAGGAGTTAACAGTGATACTACCTGCTTCTAGTGATACAACTACAAATTAGCAAGAATTGCTAGCAACTAATTTTTTTTTAAAATAATTAAAAATAATTACTGACTATTCTAATAAGAGCAGATGCAACTTTACATCTCTCAGCAATTTTATCTTTTTTGAGATCTCTCAAATGGTTATTAAAATGCTTCTTTTATGTCAATTTCAATATGCTTATTTTAGCGTAGTTATTGAAATAAGGCTCTATGATCTCGAGATATCCAGAATATAGCCACTTATTCATAGGAGTTGATGTAAAGTATTTCTTCTCTGCAATAAATGATAGCTTGTATTGTGATGATGATATTATTAAACGTGAAAATAAATAGCAGATCTTTTATACATGCAATACTATTATACAAAAATCTCATTCTATTTCTAAATTCTAAATTTGGATTATTAACATTGTGGCTTAGCCAATTTAATAAAAATTTTTTTTTGATTTTTTATACAGTTTAAAGTACAGTATAATCTTGATATAATGAAGCTCAGGAGCTGAAGGGTTTGGTTTGATATATCAAGGTTTCGATCTATTGAAGTATCTTATTATAATGAATCTATATAGTCTTGGGCACCTTGCTATAACAAAGGTTTATAATTTATATAGTTTAAGTCAATTATATACTGTATATATGTTTTATTTTTTTATTTTTATTTTTTTTAAAGAGGTTTTTTTCTTGCTCCTTTATTTCATATTAATATATAATTTACAATTTCTTATAAATAATATATTGGTTTTTTTGTGAAAAAGAGAATAGAGCTAAAGCTATGCTAATTTACTCCAGACCTAAATTTTAGCTAGATAGGTCATAACTTCTAGACTATGTTATTTATTTGAATTGAGAAGTAATTGTGTTCTATATTGTTAGTTAACTATTTATTATAATTTAGTTGTTGTTTAAAAATGTTATTGACATTATTGTCATTATGAGTTTGTGATATTCTTGGCATTTGGTTTAGATTCAGATAGTTTTGTATAGATAGTCTTTGTGTTGTATTATCATGATTGTGTATACTTATTCTTGAGAGGACCTGTATTTGATTGTAAATTTTTTTTATTATAAAGTAATAGAGCTAAATAGTATTGTTAGTTGTTGATGTGTTTTGACTTATTAAGAATAAAGTATCTATAGTTATGACTCTAATAAAAATTCATTTATTTAAGTATTTGTTTATGAAATTGGTTGTAAAGTATTGGTAAGTATTGTTGCTTTGCTGCAAATCTATTTCTTTTATAATATCTTGTATAATTTGCTGAATTGTTGTTGTGTTTGCATTACAGATCAACCAGTATACCAAGTCTTTTATATTGTTGTAGCATTGTAGACATGTTGCCAAGTTGTATTTGTTAGAATATCTATTATACAGATTAAGAAGTGTTGATAATTCTTTAGTTAGTAACTTAATTTTAAAAGATCTGATTTTTGCTTTTGTTGAGCAAGTTGTTTTGGCTAGTAGTTTGTCTTTAAAGTTTATATATTTGTAAATTAGTTGCCAATTTATATTAGGGTTGTATTTAGACCATAATTGGATATATTTTTGGTATATTCAATAGTTTATTTCTTTTGCTCTATATATATTCTTTATTGTTCTTTTTATTGGGTGCAGTAGGTTATAAGATATTAAGTATGAAGTAAAAGTATTAGATAATATCTTTGATAGATTAAATTCTGTAAAGGTTGGTAGGGAGATAGTCTTTGGTTTTGCTATTATTAGTTTGATCTTTATTGTTGTAAATTTGATAAGTACTAAGATGTTTATACTCTGTAGATATGTGGCAAAGTTACTTTTTCTTAATTTTTGATTGTTGATTGGTATAGTGATTTGATCTAGGCTTATCTGTTTTAGATATTTAGAGATTGTATAAATGGTTAGTATGGTTTCACTTGGTAAAATTGCAAGGCAAATTAGAATTGTGGTAAGTGCAATTTTTTGTAGTATAGGCCAGATTTTATTTTTTATTATAATGAATAGTTTTTTATTATCAAGAGTAATTATTGTAGTTGGGTATATTATCTAATTGTATTGATAGATTTTAATAAAGATAGTAGCTTTGTTTTTTTTGATATAAGTTGTAAAAACTTGTTTTATATAGTATCTTGCAGGTTGCTAAAAGTGTGAGCTAGTTTGTGTGAAAATAAGTGTTTGGCTAGAATATATTGATATAATATAGATATAGTGGTTGAACAGAGTAGTTAGGTAACTAATAAAAAGTCATAACTATGCTATCTCTTTTTTATATTGACAGTAGTTAAGTATACTTATCAGCTATTTCTTTGTATTATGCAGCTTTTTGTTTTATATGGTTTTTCTTTTTGAAAACATAATAGGCAGAGTAATAGTTGTAGAGTTGCTTGATCAAAAATCTAATGTTTTATCTGGAGTATACTATTATTAAAGGTAGATATTTTGCTGAATAGTTTGTCTTCTGTAATAACCTATTTGTTCTTTTTTGTTATTGCTTGTTGTCATATAAATAGATTTAGTGTAATTAGTTCAATTGTGGGGCTTGCATCTCTATAATAGTGTTTGTTATTTGTGTGAACTAGTTGGGAGTTCTTCTAGATAAGATTTTGTTAATATTGTGGTAAAATAGTGTCTAGAAGAGAAATTGGTTATTTTGGTAATTGAGGAATTGTTCAATAGTGATAATTTTGTGCTTGTTTAGTAATATTTTGGCTTGATATATGTTTTAGTATAGTATTAATAGATATTCCTGGATTTTTTATTGGTATTGGCCAAGTGTTAGATTGGTTCAAACTAAGTTCTAGTATATGGAGAATTAGTATTATATATGCAGAAAAGGTTCTCATCACTGCTACTAGAAATATTAGTGATATATAAAATATTAATGTATTGAACAAAGTTGTGTTTTGAAGATTTTGTAAGTATATATATATTTATTAGAGTGTGAGGCAGATGTATAAAGGATAGTATCTAGAATTTGTATTTGTAATTATTGCTAGAGGTTAATAATATTTTGTAGGATGCATATATTTAGGTAAAATAGTATTGAGTTTGGAACTACTTTCGCAAGGTTAGCTTTTTGTTTAATTATACTTGTATAGCTTCTTTGGAATTTTCTATATATTAATAGAGGAATATTGATATTTTGAATTCTGTATCTTAGTTGGATGAGTAATACTGTATTTACTATATAAATTGTTTGCTTGTTTGTAATTTTAAATAGGGTTAGTTTTTTTTAGATTTTTGTTTATTTCTTAGGTAATTGTTTTGATTATAGGTTTTTTGCATATGTTTATAGTAAAGTAGGTTTCAAGAAATCTGAGTGTTTGTTGAGAAGTTATTAGTGCTCAGCAAAATCAAACTTTTTTTTAATACTCAAATACATGTAACAAGCTAACTTTCAAATTAATATAGCAATACTGTATTTTATAGTTATTATATTACTATATTGCTGTATTGATTTAAAAGTCAAATCATCACATATATTTGAGTATCAAAAAAAAGTTTAATTTTGCCAAGCACTAGGAATTATATTGTGTATTTGTATGTTGTAAAATGTTATTAAGATAGTATCTCTGGTGTTGTTGTATATTAGAATAGATTTTGTTAAATTTATAGTAATGCTTGCAAATTTGTAAAATAACAAAGCTATGTTTAGAGTTTGTTTGAGTTGTAGATAGTTCGGGTAATCCAAGTAGTATTGTCTATATAGGCAATAACAGCAGTTTGTAAGTGGTGGATAAATCTATTGGGTGTAGTTGTTAACATGATATAACCTGAAATTTTTGTTACTATTCTGTGAATTAATATGTTATAGTATATATGGCATAGTAGAAAAGAGATCACTTCTTCTTGATCAATTCTATCTTTGATATGGTAAAGGTTTGTTCTGCTAATTGTTATTAGAACTTGGTTTTGTTGATTAAAGAACAGGTTGATTATTGTGTTGATAATTTTATTTGGTAGATTAATCCTTTTAAAGGCTAGACGTAGCAGTAAAAAATAAATGATATTGTATACTTTTGACATGTTTTGTAATATAATTCATAGTACTTTCTGATTAAGTACTAAGTCTTCTTGGATTTGAATAAGTTGTTAAATTAATGTAAGTATAGAGTAAGCAGTAAGGCTACATTGTTTGCTAATAAGAAAGCTTGATATCATGTTAGTGTTTTATTTAGATAATTGGTTAGTATCTTTATAAAGATTTTTTAGAAGTGTTTAATAAGTGTAATTGGGCATATTTTACGGAGGTTTCCTTTCTTGTAGGCTGATTTGGCAATTGGCCAGACAAGGCTATATTTTTAGCTTTTCAGAATATTGTTTAATTTGATACATTGATTTAGAATATTAGCTAGATAGTTAGTTGTAGTAGCTAGAAGTTTTTTAAGCATCTTGTTTGATAGGAGAGAGAGAGTCCCATAGCTTTAACAGTAGAAGAATCTTTAATTGCTTCAGTGACTTCATTTGTGGTTATGGAATCTGTTAATTCATTAAAAATACTAGTCAAAGTGTTTTTTGTTAGCTTATAGTATGTTTTTCAATGTTTTTATTCTGTAGTATTACTTAGATTATATTTTGTCTATTGTTGAAAGTGAGTTTTTATGACCTTTT